TTTAGTGTGGCCTGCATCTTTATAAACTCTTATTTGGAATTAAAGATAAATTGCCCTGAGGCCTTTTCGCCGCACTGCGCGTCTTCTAGTATTTAGTAGAATTTAGTAGTATTTATTTGCTCTAGCTAATTTTAAAATATTTCATTATCATAAAGGATAATTATTGAAGCACAACAAATACGGGCGTTTTAAGAAAAAATGCGTGCGTCTTTATCGTGTGCCGATTGACTTTTACGCACGGACTTCTCGAGCAGCAGTGCCAACGCAACACAAGCGGAAAAACAAAAAAGTCACCTGAAGATCATCCAGGCCGTGATGTCCCAGGTGCATCCCGAGAGGACCGTCTCCGAGAGCTGCAGCCCCTTCCCCGAGACCGTGCAGCAGCCGCGGGACAGCTGGATACTCCCGACGGGGGTCCAGGCTCAAAGCCCGGTGAGACTGTGATAGTAGCCCCCCTTCCTCGGAGCGCGACCTCTGCGAGTGCCACGCTGCTTGCTGGTGCTGATGGATGGAGTTGATGGAGGGGTAGGGGTCTGACAGGTGGGAATAAGCAGAGTCCTGGCTCTGAGAGTATGGCAGTGAAGACTGTGGATAGGGGGGTGGAAAGTAGGGAGGCTGGAAGTCTGAGGCCGGAGTGTGGCAGAGCGGGGGAGCCGAGGAGTAGGCGGCCTGGTTCAGGGAGGACAGCTGGGAAAGGCGCCCGCTCGGCGAAGAGCCGCTTAGTCCGTCTGCGCGGTCCTGCAGAGAATCAGAAAGTTTGTTTCATATCAGGAGCTCAACGTGCTCAGAGTTTCAGGGTTAAAAACATTGAGCTCAGAGCAAAAAATATTTTAAACCAAAGCGTTATTTCCATAAAGGAATCGAGATTTTAAAAAGGAAAAATAAAAGAAACAAATAAGTCACAAAAACGCAAAATTAAAATATGAAAAAAAGTTTTAATGTGTCAAAAATAAAAGTCGTGAATCCATAAATAAATATTTCCATTTCATTAGGGAGGGATGGAAATAGCAGTTGCGCTTGAAGTGATGCGCCGTGGCAGAAGACGCCCTTGGCATCGCTGTTGAAAAGTGTCAGAAAGGTCACTGCCACCAAGGAACTGCACAAAGGACAGGTAACGCACAGCAACAATAACAACAGCAGCACGTCGCTCCGGGAGGAGGCTCCATCTGTAAATAATCAGGGACTGCGTCAACAAACACAAACTGACCCCACGAGTGAAAATTAAAGCAAAAGAGGGGTTCATTCAGGCTGGCAAGGCGCGCGAAACCAAACGATAATTCAATGTGACTTCACAAGTTTGACCTCTCTTATTAAAAGAGATGCCAGTATGTTCACGCTGTGTGTGTGTGTGTGTGTGTGTGTGTGTGTGTGTGTGTGTGTGTGTGTGTGTGTGTGTGTGTGTGTGTGTGTGCAAACATGTAGTCCACTAGCCTACATTTGGGCTCACACACACACGCATCCCGGTGAAATTTGATTTTTTTCTCAAAGCTGGGTCAACCTGATCGATGCTGTTGTGGTGGAAACAATGTCCATTATCTCCCTGCCAAAAATGCCGCCTTAAAAGCAGATATCGGTCAGCCCGGCACAGCTTTATTCGTGCACCGCCTTTCACCCACAGATGAATGAAAAAGTGCATTTCAGGCAACAAGGAAAGAATGGGCAAAACAATTAACAGACAAACAGATATTTGCAAAAGTTTTATAACAACAAACAGCAAAATGTTTTTTTAATTAAAAAAATACACTGTAAATATCGAAAATGTCAACAAACGAGAGTCATAAATAATAAAGAAAAAATAAAGAAAGAGAAGAAAGGTAAGATTATAAGGTAACTGATGGGCCACAAATGAGAAGACACCTTAAGTAAAAGTGAAAATAATTATGTCTTCAGGTTTCTTCTTCTTCTTTTTTTTTTTTTTAAAATCTCCACTGAGGTGCAGTCCACCATTCCCTGAGGCAGACTGTTCCCGAGACTGGGACCACAGTGGCTCAGGGATGGTTCCCCATGCGTTTTTATTAAGATCCTTGGGAGAACCCGGAGGCCGGCTGCACAGAATGTAAGCCGGGATCAGCTTTGGTACATAACTATAAAACATGTCAGAGAGACTGACTGCTGCCAGGCCATTAAAACCCACTCAAATCCTCTCTCAAAGAAATGCAACCTAATAACTTTAAATTAATATTATTACGGGCTTTCATATTTGTGATCAAGGTCGATATTCAGTACTACAATTACTCATACTGATTGTGCGTACTTGTGCATTTCAAATTTTATTCCCCAAATTCTCTCTATATAAAAAAACTGCAAAACACAGAAAAAGATGAGCATCTTTCCACCGTGTGGACTCCTCATGGTCACTGTCTCAGCTGCTGTGACCGTGTGCAGACAGACAAAGAGCATCTCTGGGACAGATGCGCGGCGCAGTGTCAGTAAAGTCTAATTTTTGAAGTATCTGTGATTCTTTGGAACCACTTCTACAGGAAACCGAATTAACAGCAACGGTTGAACCACAAATCTTATATGATTTAGAAAACAATAAACATGAATTACTATTACTCTGTAAGCTGACAGCTAAAGAATTCAACGCACTATTTAGGTCTTTTTCTGTATCTTAATATACTCCAATTTTGTTAATTTGTTTTACCGCCAGCTGCAATTGTTTTACGCACGTTCTATAAGGTTTACTGACATTTCTAATGCAAAAAACAAAATCCTTGTAAATTTGTGTTACAGTAACGACTAACAGACACCAGCAGCCCTGAAAATACTAAAACAAACAAACAAAAAAAAAACAACAACCCAGAACGACTCTGTCTAACTTACCATAGCTGAATAGGTGTGGATTAACATCTGGACCAGTCTGGACAGATCCCCAAAATTTAAAATTCAACGGGAGTCGAAGGCTTCCCACGGCTCATAAGGTGTCACAAAAAATGTTCCCAGATGTAATCCAGGCCTTTATTAAAGGTCCATTCAATTCAGAGGTGCTGATATTTACTTTTCCTTATCTCTCTGTCTGCCGGAGCTCTTTACGCTCAGATGAAAAGCAGCTGCCAGATACGAACACGCGCGTACAACACAACACAGAGTCCTGCAGCCTCTCCATGAGCGCACTACTTATAGGTTTTGCGCGCACCCGGCAGAATAAGGGGAGGGGTCGAGAGGAGCCACTTCTCTTAAAGAGATATATTCCTTCGCTTGCTTGTTTTGCCCCACGCTGATTGTACCGTTAGCTATTGTTGCCTTTTAAAATAGCATCATGCAGGCTTTACGCACGAAGTAAGACCCCAGATGGGTTTTATTAGTAGTAAATATCCCTCAAAAATTCACATTTTCAACAAGGAAATCATCTCCCGTGATTCTTTTAACGTCTACGTTAGAAAGTTAGTCTTTTTACGCACGAAATTTTAGAGGGATGGTTTAAAAATCTAAATTATTTTAATTGTTTCAACTTTTTTAATACACCTTGAGTATTTCACGGTTTGAACCGACTTTAATTATCTTCTGACATAAAAAAAAAAAAAATACATTTTAAAAAGACGTGTGCACCTTTTTACGCGCTTCTATATAAAACATAACAGACTCACAGAGCCCACCAATGAAAATAAAACTTTACCTGCGCGTTGTCAGTTTTAGTTCGGGATTTCCAGAGCATGATGGCGCTCGGGCTGTACGTCAAGCTGCAGCTGAGGGGTTAGAGATGGATGGAGAGGAGAAGAGAGGAGACAGGCTGAAGGTGCAGAGGGGAGTGAGTTACTTTGAGAGACGATGCAGTAGTTTGTATGGATGAGTCAGAGAATAGAGCCGGGTGTAAGGAGGGGGGGGGGGGGGTGTTAGAAAAAACACAAAAGAGGGCGGTAGGTGACACGAGTCGAGGAGGGGGGCAACTGAAAACTTTTGTCACGGTTGGTGTGAGGACCATAGGATCAGCGGTGGAGGGGTTAAACATAGCTGATTGGTGATGATGGCCTGACAAATTATCAACCTAATCAAAAATTCACTTTAATATTTAGAAATATTCCAGAACTCAAATAAAAATAAAAATTTCCCCGCATTTCTGAGCAAGTCTAACATCCGCTACAGCATTTAATTCTTGTTGCTAGATGACTGATATGCGCCAATTTAAGACTTTCAGCGTCCAGTAAAACGATGTCATAACTAAACACTTTGTTCTCTGTGCTGATGTTTTTTTCCCCCCACATATTTTATTAATAGCTTCACTATAATTTAATTACCAGCCTAATAATTGAAACAACTAAAACTCTGGAAATGTGGATAACGGAAGAAGTTTGCCAGTAAACAAGAACTTCACCACACATTAAGTGTCATTGCGCCATCTAGTGGAAACCGACTGAATGCCTGTTCAGTGAAATAAGGAAAATGGGCTTGGTATAAATGTACACCAGCCCAGTTCGCATTACACTGAACGTTTGACATAATACTTAAATTACAAGATTCTAATCAAATGAATTAAATTTAGCATTATTTTAAGTTCATGTAATGGCCAATGCAATAATATGACCTTTGAACAGGAAATTTAAATGTTCACATCCAACCTCATAATGCAGACCTGCATCATATTTAATTTATGATGCAATACAGCACAAAACTGTCCTCAAAGCAGCAGCTAGTAAGAGAAAGCTGTAAAAACAAAAAAGCAAACCCAAAACACAGCGTTCTCTAACAAAAATAATTCTTTATTAAAGGCATTTACATTTTCAACAGTTGCATTTAAGAAACAGCTTGTGTGCATTTTCAGCTCCTTGTGACAGGTATAGCCGTCTCTGTGAGGATTTACCTGCAGAGCTCTCAGATGTTTTCAATGATTTATGATGAAAACAATAAAGTAGGTCAGTCAGACAAACGGGGCACATTCAGAGAAATGCGCACAGAAATGCATGATCCTCCTCATTCCTATTAAAACTATAGACATTTTGGCAGACATCCCCAATTTATTAATAAAAAAAAACCCATCAGAGCAAACACATTTATAATACGAGTTTGGTTTCAGCAGTTTCCCTGGTTTATTGGTTTCATTGTGCGGTTTCACTAAAAGTTAAAAGTACTCGATTAGAGAGTACACCATTTCTCCAGAGCAGCTGGTTTTACTTCACTCCCACAGACTTCTTCAGCTTCTTCATACTGCTCAAAGCTCCTTCGCTGGATCTCGTCATCATGTCTCCGATTTCTTGTTTGCACACCGGGCACCGCTCTGCCAGGGCACACAGAGCCTCCTGCAGCGCATCCTGGGTCAGCTGGTCAGGCAGAGCGCTACACTGATGAAGCATGGCGAGCATGTGTCTGAGCCAACCCTCCTCTCTGATCAGGGTGGTGATTGAGGGTTGGGCACGGGCACAGCCTCCCAGGGCCTGCAAACTCAACCTCCAGAGCTCTGCAGCGTCATCCCAACTGTCCTCCCAGCTCAGGCTCACCTTCGCTGGACCTGGACTAGAGCTCGAGTCCAGGGCGCTGCGAAGGAACCGGAGAGCTGAAGAAAGGAAACGCCGCTGGCCCGCTTCCACTGAGCCTGCAGAGAAGAGCTTTGTTGAAAACTATTTAACAAATAACTAAACCATTCATTTATTTTTTCATATCTAAATGGGTCACATTCGTCATGTTTCACATCATAGACCAACATTGTGCAAGGCTTAGGAATCTTGCAGGACCACTACGAGAAAGACTGCAGCTAGATTCTTGCAAGTTTTCCTTCTTGTAAATTTCCAGCAGAACTGCTGAGCAGAAGCAGAAGGAGCTTTGGGCCACATCTGCCTGTGTGTGCAAGAGTTTGTTCTGTGGGTGGTGGTTCAAACCAACGAAAACTGCACAATGTCAACAACTCAAGGTTACTTAAGTTTGTGATCACCTTATCGCAAAGGATTGAGATGGGAACATTTGTTGGCTAGCTTGCTAGCATTATGGTGACACAGCTTTGCCAGTCAGTGCAGGGTAATCTCTATAAACTGGTTCTGTGTATAAATAAATACAAACTGTAGGGAAGGGAAAATTTACCATCTTTAGCCTTTTAAATACATTTACACTTGTAAACTATGAGCAGTTTGAGCCAACACTAAAGTGGAGGAAAACCGAGGTCATGGCATAGATTCCCGTGGTTACACTGGAAAGCCCTGAAAAACTAGCTGTTGTTCCAGTAGCTAATAGCTTTAAGCAGTGTGCAGATATGTCAATGGAGAATCTCTATACAGAGCGTTTCTAGATTAAATGACTTGAAGGTTATGCAAAAATAAATTACAACAA